ACGGTCGCGCAACGTTTGCTTAACAAAAAACCCCCATGCATTATATCACTTACATATTCGTAAACGCACAAAAAAAACGAAGTTAATGGTCCAAGTTTCATTTCCAACGCGCCAGCGGATATCGCACCTCGCATAAATCGCCGAGTTTCAGATATATTTCCCCCCGCGAGCGACTACTTACACAATTTCGGACGCGTCCAGGTATGCACGCGCGCGCAGCGCGGTAGCGAAGCAGAGATTTAAATAATCGGAGTTTACGATCACGATGCGCCCTGGTCTTACGAAACCTCGTGAACGCATTCGCCTGCGTATATTATCCGGCCGAAATTTATCGTCATGATAAATCGCGCCACGGTTCGCCTCAATATTACAAAATTTCAATTCCACGCTGATTTCGTATTCCGACGTGCAGGTTGATTTTTCATATTTATCGCCGTTGCCGAGAGTAGCCGCCGAGAGATGGACCGGACTAGAACGAGTGACATTTATAATCGATCCGCGCGGCCTTCGTTTAAGGAACCATACCGAGCAAATCACCGGCTTACCGGCCAATAAAACGAGTTTCGGGAACGCGATACGCTCGTCTTCATCGCTACGCACCAGAGAAAGGAATAATTGTCGCTGCTCGCACTCAGGTGTTGATTATCCTGCAACATCTGACATGCAAGCCAAGTGGCAGCGAGCGTTTCAAATAATTTTAGAAGCCGCGTCATCTTTAACGGCCCGGCAATCGATCACATCGCGGATCGCACACGTCTCGTCATCGCAGTGATCCGCGAGGCAAGAGAATCCTTTTTTGTCAAGGTTCTTTAATATCGCGTGTCTTCGCAAAGAATCTGATACCACACTATTTTCAATGCCTGATGTCTTATTCAACGTTCACTAATGTATCAGCGTTTTAGACTAGTCGACGTAAATAAAACCAATGTTAAAAGAATTATACCAATTTTTAGCATTGTGGATCATAAATAAATAATGAAAACGTAACATATAACATTCACATTTTGTGTTTGCAATTTTATATATAGAGATAAATCCGATCTACTATAAAATAATAGATTATGCAACATATAATAATTTATCTACTGTGCTGCACATTTTGTTAGTAAAAAAAACTTGTATTTTTTGTTGTTAGTAGAAGACTCATCGGGTTAGAATTAAGAGCGGAATTTAGCACACTTTTATTCGTGAACCTTTGACAGGGCAGTTAGGTGAATGAACCGTTATCAGCCAAAAAAAACTCTGCCTTTAGAAACGCATTAGGACATCAAAGGGGCCGATGTTCGAATTAGAGGGCATTGCATGGTCCAACAACTGGACGCTCTTGTGTTGCGATGTAAACCTGAGTTGTTAATGGGATAGTAATTCACGGATTACAAGCTCTCATTGCGCCAAAAAAAGGGCGTTACTTCACGAGATCGGACGTTAATTGTCCACCATGTACTAACGCGCGTTTACGCAACACAGCACGTCAAGAATTCATTCTCAGCATTTCATTTTATCTGGCGCATCGCGCAGATAAAAAGTTAATTGACGTCGATGAGCAATATATAATTAACAACATCACAACCGACGTAACTAGAAAATCGAAAGTGGAAGAATAACGGTTCGTATCTTGTTAAATCGATTTACGTTTTCAACGAAACAAAACCGTGGTCTAGAATAAAAATTTGATAAAATTCATCGTGGGTGTGAATAACCAATGACGTATTATTCGAGAAAAGGGAAGCAAAAATAAACATTCCACGGGCTCGTCCGGGATTTGAACCCGGGACCTCTCGCACCCGAAGCGAGAATCATACCCCTAGACCAACGAGCCATCTTGACAGGTTTTCTCCTCTGAACTCACTTCACGAATACCCATAAATTTATATTAGAATAATTAACAATTTTACGACGTGGTTATCTAAAATATATATAATTAATGTTCTAATTGTTGTACAAGTCTAGTATGTTCTAATTGTTGTATAAGTCACGCTTGTGTGCGTTCTGATTCATGTTTATTTCGCAAGAAAACACAGAAATAAATACTTTTGATCTTCGAGTGAAACATACTTTTATAAATTCAGCTTTGGGATTCTTTTCCTAACAAAAAAGTATGCTTGACTTTAATTACTTTGTAATTTCCAGAGTTATTATCTCGCTATTCTATCACGCTCATTGCGGTACATAATGGTTCACTTTCATAGCATACATAATTCTTCAAATTAAGTTTTTGCAGTTTAACAGATTCTTGGAATCGCTTCTTTTCTCATGACGTATCGCCAGTAACTATGTAATTTGATGACATAATAAACATTATATCACACGCGATAAGCGTTTTATGTCAAACTTGAGTATAATGTGAAGAACAAAAACAACGTAATGAGATAATGGTAAAATACAATAAATTAATTGTAAAATATAAATCAAAATCATAGCCAGATATGAAAGATACGCGATTAAACGAGATGATGAGAGATACAGGAGGAGAAAGATAGCAGGTAGGTGTACATTCTAAAACGACGAAGAATTCGTGGCTCCATCTATGATCAGGAAAGTTAGTTCGCGTTGCGTGTTACTCGCTTCAGCCTCCGCGTATCTCATCTCATCGCGGAATAATCGGTGTGTTTTGAGGAGTGCATGTGGCCTACAACAAAGTTGAGGAAAGGTCACGAAGCGTGGGTTGCGCAATTACTTTTCATCGCGCGAACGTAATTGCGGGACCCGTTCGCGCAAAAAAAGCGCGAGAGAAGGGATGGAAGAAGGGGGGAAAAAATACTTTATGTACCCGTTTCGTCCGAACCTTGTGTTAAACGCAAACGAGGGTTTCGTGAGATAAATACTCAGCCGGGGGCTAGAAGAGTAGCTCCTCTGAAATGGAACCTTTCCCGCAAGAGGGGAGGGACGAGAGCGTCGAGCGAGATCTTTTACGCGCTGCGATTGTAATAACTCTGGAAACGGCACCGGTATGCAAAGCGACACGCTACATTTACGATGTGAAACTTTTCTATTCCCGAGTTAACGAATCGTAAAGATGTTATCAAACGTATCGCTAAATTTGAAATAAGAAAAATTCGAAAAATTTTAGAAGAGAATCTTCTATCGTTTTACATTTTTCTATCTTACTTTTTATCTTTCTTACTTTCTTTCTTTTTACAATACAAATATTAACTGTCCCTGTCAATAACCTTTTATCTCCGAACAAATAAAGACCATTTAGCTTGTAGACTACCTAACTCTTCAATAACAGCAATTATTTGTGACCGATGCATTCCATGCATTCAAAGAAACTGATATAACGATCTAGAAAGACTAACTTCTTCAAACTTCATAAAAAATTTCTATTGTAGAAATTCTAATAGTTCTCTCGCCTACCTGCATTGCAAATTTGTATCTCAATAATTTTCATTCTCATGGCCATAAAACGAGAGCAATAATTAATTAGAATAGGCTTCGAAAAAGAAGAAGAATAAGAAGAGATAGCAAATAATGGAAGCACTATGTCCCAAAAAGTCCGAACTACTCATAAAACTATCGCCTGTGAAATTATCACTCAAAGAACGATCTCTGTTAAGTACACAACCGAGCATTTATCATTTTGATCTAAATATGATTGTTTTCAGTGCTGACATGACTAATTTATGCCTTAAGCAAATTCCTTAATAATACTGATAAAAATTTTATTTTAAAAAATATTAACATTTTATTGTTTTTCGAAATATTACTTGGCACGCATATGTGAGAAAAGAGGCGTGATTTAGGTTACGGAAAAAAATTTTAATGAATGAGTAATCGTTACTGCTGGCCCATTAAAGCAATGAATTTAATCGGCCATCGAACACGAGCCGAGATCGCCATGCCGTCACGGTCGTCCCTCCAAGGACATGTCTCGTCGAGAGTCATCTCGTTACACGCGTACGTAAATGCGTGATGTACTCGCGCGGAGTCGAGTCGTAGAACCGGGTAATACCGCGCTGCGCAACGCAATCGTTTCGACGCACGCAGCGGCAGAGCATCGACGTCTCGCATTAAATGTCACATTCTAAATAGCGAACTATTACGTAAAGCGAACCGTCGTAAATCGTTCCCTTCGTACAGAAGCGAAGCATACGTGTCGTCGTCGCCGTTGTAAGAATCATGAGACTTTCCCACGTTATTGCTCGCCCGAAAGAAAGTCACAAAAATAACCCTAATTCGTCGACATTAGACCAGCTCAGTAAAAAAAAACGAATAACGAAAACGAAAAGAGATCTCTTTTTTTCTTGAAGGCTAATTGCATCCTAAATCATTGTTTAACGTATATGTTATCGAAAAAGGTGTTTTTCAGGTGTTTAACAGGTGTTCCATCCCTTTCCTTCCTTTTGTCTAATACACACACATGTTACAAGTTTTAGATATTCCTAAAGTACAAAAACAATTTGTATTTTATTATTTTACTTTTTTACTTATTTTATTAAATTAATTTTTCCAACACAAAAGAAATTAATTAATGGACATTTACAAAACATCTGACAAAAGTTTATAGCAATATATTTCTACAAAGTTGAAATGTTTCTAAAGAATTGTATCTACAAATACTGTAAAACTCGAGAACCGTAAAACCTACTTCATAAATAACAATTCCTTCTATTGTTTGTTTTAAATCTTCCTAACATAACATATCGATTTGTATGCGACTCTCAATAGTCGTCGGAGATAAGGATATAGAAAGATATAATTTAATTTCTATTAAAAGATTCTAAATACTAATCTTCTGCGAAAGAGGAAGAAGCGGGGCTTTTCGATACCGCAATTCGAAGAACCAAGTCCGTGTGTCGTTGATTCCTGGGATACAAAAGGGTAGGAGGTGACGCGAAGAAGGAGTAGAAAAGATGAGAAGAGAGGGCACCCGGTTGAGGCCCCTCCCTCATCGGCCCCCACCTCCAGCTTGAGAAGGATTATCCGTTCGTCAGCAGGACTCCCCACCACAAATACGTCGGGACCCGCAACCCACCTGTACCACAGTGGAAGGATTGTACACGCTTCTCTGCTGATCCGACGCACAGTATGCCTATAAGGCCCATTCGAGGTATACTTACGAGAGCGCACGAGCGATCCGAGAGCCGCGCGACCGAGCGAGCGGAGACCCCGATCAAAGCGGGCGAAGTGGGACCGCGGAAAATAAACGTACCGAAGTGGGGGCCGATTCAAGAATCGACGTGGACACCCTCGCCTACCAAAGTCATTCACCTAACGGTCATCGGCGCGTCAAGAGTCTTCATCTTCTTCCGTTATCCGGTCGCGAGAGTTCGCGCTCGCCGTCGTCGACTTGCGACCTTTTGCGCGGAAGAAGTCGCGAGAAGGTGCAAGCAAGAAACCACGGACTACGGTCAGATCGAGATTTCACGCGTTCGGTGCTTCGACCGGCAGTGAAGTGATTACTCAAGGAACTTTCAGCCCTCGGATGCGTTATCAAACAGAAAGCACTCGTGACGGACGGTTAACAGATTATTTTGTAGAAGAGTGTGCAACGATTTATTGTGTTTCCGGGTTTACCTGCTCTGGACTGCAGCGAGTCTGGGACAATGGACCAGAATCACAGTGCTTTATGCCTTACCAAGTGCTGTTATTAAAATAAGTGACAAAGAGTGTGTCAAAAGTTTTGCCATCGAAGACTAATGGTGAATTCAATGGAATTTTCTGTCTGCAACTATCGCCGAACATCCGCACGACGTTAATTAATTATCACGACCAAAGTACGTAATATTTTGTGATAATTTTGTCGTTTTCTCGAACGAGAGATTTGTACGTCGGACATAATATCGAAGCATAATATCAACAGAATACTGTCAAAATTCTTAGTGCAACGTTAGTCTTCGGATTGTCGGAAAACAATCGTCTAATAATGCCCGTCGGAAGTATAGAATCACGTAGAGAAATCGATTCATTCGATCTCGCGATCAAAGCGAGATGTCATCGTGATGATGCTTAATGTTCTCTTCAGCGAACGGTGTATCGAAGCAACAAACAACAACGAGAGATCTTTCATGTGATCACGTTCGCAGTCAGTTAATTTGTTAAACGCGTTTGCTCGGAATTCGTGCTTGGCTCGGTCTTCAAAATATCGGGCCGCGTATTTTCACATCGCGTCTCAGAAGCGACGGCAGGATCGAGAGCGCGAGAGCGGTGAGAATCTGTCACGGAATCGGTTCGTCGCGGATTAGGTGCTGAATTCTCGTTCGCGGCTCGTTAGACTCCCGACAGATTCGCGTGTGCGTTCGCGAACTCGTTTGCCTCTGTAAATCGTAGAATTTGCCCGCGACTTCGCGCCGCGACGAATCGTCCGCGCGCCGATTGAACGCCAGTTACGACAATAGAATCGGAAACAACACCGTGTCGTTGCGTCGCGCGCAATGCGAAGGCCGATCGGTGGAACGCGCGTTGCGGAACGCCGCTTCATTTCGAAAGAGCGGAAGTCACTCTTTGCAAACTAGATCGCCGCTGCTCGCCGAGATGAGGCCGTTACGAGATGCCGAAATCGTTTCCCGGTAAACCGATGGTGCCTCGATCGGAATTCCTTATTAATTCTGCCTGAACGGATGCAGGCGTGAGCGATAAAACGTATTAATCCCTCGAATGCCAACTGCCAAACGACATGCAATCGGCAACGTATGACACTGCCGTCGGCCGCCGCTTTGAGCTACGTTGTCGTATACCAACATCATGATGAACCCTTCTAACTTATTGTTAAACGTCGAGACGTTTTTTGGTCGAAATATCCCAATCCGCAGTGTCTGCATTGTTGAGTTTATTACCAGTGTGACTTCTGACAATCTCGTGGCAGTAAATTCACAAAGAAAAAAAGTTCGTTCTTTTTATGATCGAAAAAAGCGAAGATAATGCGACAAACAAACGTGATGAAGACAAAAGAGAGATACAAATGACGAAATTTATTAAATTGCAGTTGCAACATCGGTTTTTAAAATATGCCGAATTGTAATAGAATCCTAATTAGAAATAGATTTTAAATTATAGCGTGAAAAAGAGATGATCTATCGTGTGTGCATGTGCAACGCGCGCGCGTGGTGCAGTATGCATAGGACACTAAAATTTTTTCAATAATTTTCTTCCCATTATTCACCACGTCTAAGCTATGCATGTTTAGTTTGGAAATGTCCTTCAAAAAAAATATTCTATTTATAAGCGGGAAATTCCTCTAAGCATTTCCTCTAAACAAAAAATCTTACATGAAGCATATTCCTCTTTAACGCGTATTCCTCTATAAAAAAAGTGGACGCATGAGCTATAATCAAGAGTAAATTCTTCTATAGGAAATTCCACTATAATAATTTGAATAGTCTCTTGAAATAAAAGGATATGCAAGATATTAGCGACACGCGCATTTGTTAAAAGAATGTATATGCTAGGAAAGCACAGACGGTCGGAGACGACAATAAGATAAGTGTGTTATAAGTCAATGTATAAAAATGTTTTATTAATTATATATGTTTAAGTCTGGTGTATTATTACAACTAAACATAAATATAACATGGTGCAGTCGTAAAGTGATAGAAAAAATATTAAAAGTTTCATGACAACGGACCATAAAAGAAGTGTGCAACCTCATTGATAATTTAGAGATTAACCATGCAAAACAGCAATGATACTGATTATAAAATGGAACTATACTGCAAACCACCAAAAGGACTAAATCTAAATAGAAATATTGGTGAGAATTGGCGCAAGTTAGTCTTTTGAAGAATATTGCATTCCAAAGAAGAATGTTGTATATGAAACATTCAAGTTCTTCAACAGATTACAACAAGAAGGCGAGAAATTTGAGAGCTTTCTAACAGAAATAAAAAAGCTGAGTCAATCATGTGAATTTGGAACAATGACTGACAGAATAATCCGGGACAGGATTGTACTAGGAATAAGAGACGAGATGCTGCAGGAGAGGCTCCTCAGGACAGAAAATCTTAATTTACAAAAGGCAATTGATTACTGCAAAACTGCTAAGATATCCAAGGTTCAAACGAGAAATATGCAAGGAGACAAAACAGAAATAGATAGTCTACATAAGAAAGTGCTCTTGAGGCCATATGTCGGAGGAAAATCTTCTAGAATCAAAAGAGTACTGTTAAAGAATAGAATTTTTTTAGTATTCCTATACGTTAGATCGCTTATAACAGTTTGTCATTTCTCAGAAGAAAACATTTTTTTTTTGCAAAAAAAGGGGTATAAGTCTAAATTTTTACTAGAAAGATTAGATTATTTTTTTATTTATAAATTAGATTGCTATTTATAGATCAGAATATTATTATTTTATTTAACCGCTCTTAATAATAATTACGCGAAGCATAATAAAATACAAGTGATTATTTTTATGCTGCGATCGTTCTTCGCGTTTTTTCAATCGATGGAAATATCTATGTATATTTTTTTGCAAAAAAAGGTGTTGCGCGTGATTGTTTATTCAGGAGGTCGGCACGGGAAAAGAGAACGAGTGTCGCGTGGTCTGCAAGAGTTTCATCGATTGATCGCTTTGAGAGGATTCTAACAGATGCGCATCTAGTGTTTCGCATTATAGCCATTGTCGATGATCGTCGGAGACCAAGACTGTGCAAGTCGCCGGGAGTCATTACGATTCTCACGAACTTGCGCTAGGGCCTGCGCTTACTTGGCGCAACAATCGTGTGCAAGGTCAGGTCTCGTGACGGTCCCCGTCGATCTTGGCGATGATCGTTGCCTCCGAGATCCGCTCTCGGCGATAATCCGCGCCGAGTCTCGTTATCGGGAAACGAGTCTGAGAGACAAGCACTTATTATGGAGCAGCTTTGCGGACCGCGCGAGCGGATCGTCGCCGCCGCTGCCGATCGGCGCGAATCGGAAATATCTAGTCGGCTTTTATTGCGAGAGATCGGGTTCGCACGCTTCGCGTTGAGTTGTCTCGAAAGGAATCGCTCGCTTCTGCGGGAACGTTTTGTTACGGTAATCGTAAAAAGACGAGAGCCGGACTCTCTCGTTGTCACGAGGAAACGCAGGTAACGATCGTCAGGAAATTGGAGGGAAAACGGCACGTAGTTCGCGATAATAGCTCGTAATCTTAATCCCGCGTGCGGAATCGCGCGGGCTATTACGATTACCGAACCGTGAATCACCTATTTACATGCACCGACCGCGGCGGCCGGAGATCATAACAAGTGCGCAGCGGCCACTTATCGTCGTCGAGTGTAATTGTGAAATTCCCGATTACGCCGAATAATTCTCGCGAGTCAAGATAGATAAATGGATAGCGCGTTTATTAATGATGTTGGGCAAAACCATAATCATACATCGCAAAGAAGAATTATTTATGTAATGATTCGTATTTTCTTGCCTGCTTAAGTCGAATTTTTAAATATTTGAGAAAAATTGTGCTTTTTTACTTTTATGTACTTTATAACTGCACATGTGATTAATTGAAAATTATATTAATTAAATAAAGCATTGTAGATCGCAAATTTATAATTTATCTATTAGTCATAATAGCTAATTTTTTATACTTTTAACGATCGTAAAATGGTTCACCATTATCCACATGTTTGACCGCTTTTTTCATTTTTAATGTCACACATAGAATATAATTCATTAGCCTTATTTGATTTTTATCTGACGACATTGTGTATTTTCTTGCGACATCTCGACACGACAACAATATCATTTAAACATCGCGATTGTATCGGCGTGGAACGCACACGCATTCACTGAATGAGACTTACCTGTTACCGGATGCACACCTCTAATCATTGCAGGTTGCTGTGATTCAGGCGCCGCAGGACAGTCTCTTTCCACAAGTGTCCGTCCTGCACTAAAACAGAAAAAAATTCGAACGACAATTAGACTTGAGAAACAATGAGGAGCCTTGAGGCTATCGTTAATGAGGTTATAGCGAATAATTCGACAATTGAGAAATACTCTACCGCATTGCTCGGTTTTGTCAGCCGTTGAGCGCCACCGAGCAAGCCGCGACACGGATACGCTAGTTTTTCGGCGACGTTGGAAAAATATCGCGAACGGTGGCAACAGAACGATCACGTAAGAAGAGATATCTGCTCGCCGAACGCGACACAGGATAACAATTCAGAACAAATCGCTATGCGATTGTCTCTCGAATAGATTCAAATAACACGAATTTTTATCGTCACAATACCGCGGCATTTTTACGCGGCGTGGCACGACGGGAAGTGAGCGTACAAGCAAGTGAAAAAAAAAATACAAACACGGAATTGCACGCACGAGGCCTGCAGGTATGCCGCGGCAGAAACGGCGGCGTCCGCGAATGATAAGTGTCAACGACTGTTGGGTATAGGTCAGGAGAGAGAGACTCCGTTGATCAAACAACGTAGATGTCTCTTCCATTAGTTGAGATTTACTTTCCCATTTAGCGACAGTCCGTCACGTATGAAAGTCGACGGAGGTGGGCACGGTTTTGCCCTCGGGCCGCGGCAAACATCTGGGTCACCGCTATTGTCCCATATTCGTGATCGCCTGACATTTTGGTAGAAAAAGCCGAGAAAACGTTAGAAATATTAGAATGCTGCCGCGAATAGGAAAAACGAAAAATGATAGAAACAAAGGAGGGGAAAAAATAGAGAAACGCGTTACGTTAGGAGTCCGTTTCCGCGGCGTCGCTCCGCTGGCCTACGCAAATGCGCATTGTGCAAGGGATCGCGGCGAGAAATAAATAAAAGCGACGAGGTATGAAAAGGAGACCGCGAAGCCACGGTCCATTTTCTGGACGATCGGCCAAAGAAGGCGAAAGGAATGGGCGCGAGAAAAAGACGGAGACTACCGAGGAAAAAAAGCAAGCGCAAGAGTTTTCCGCTCGTTGAACGTAACACGCACCGCTTTGCTACGATCCAGCGATTCGCGCGCGCGCACGCCGCACTGCAAAGCGGCACATTATGCAACGTGCCTCTTCTCTTACTCAATCGTGCGCTCCGATCGGTGTAGGCGCACGATAAAGATTGCATTGCCGACTTGTCAAAGGTACACGCGTCCGACCGATCCACTTTTCGTTTCCGTCGCGTAGGAAGCGATTCGTCAGGGAAACGCCACACGATTGTATATCATGATATCGCGGGTAACTCACAATGGACAGTTTCATAATTACAGTATCTAATGATTTTTAATATTTTTTAAACACGTTCATAAATCTTATGCAATAAACATTTTATAAGAAGAGCAATGTAGAGCCGCGCGCGGATAATGCTAGAAAATAAATTAAATATATTATTTAGCAAGGAGCAAGATTGAATAAATTTTTGGTGTAAACTTTTCTACTTGTCATATTTTGATACTCAAAAAATTGTGCCATAAAAATAATACGCTGTCTAATAATAGGTAGAATTCAATAGAGCAGTGCTTGGTATCTATAAAATATTTTTTAAGTACAATAGAATTTGATAAACAGTATAATAGGCAAAAAATGTCGTAAATATAATTTTGATTTATATAATCAAAATTATGTTATTAGATATTTAACTGATGTTGAACGTGCCACTGTTAAATACTGAAAATGATAATTAAACAAAATTTTTCTAAATATTAAATTATTTCTGATCATTCAACTTTATCGCGAAAAATTCATTTGTATACGCACGCAGTTCATTAATGCAATCAGAAATCTGTTCTAGTACTAAAGCTATTGTTTTTTTTTTATTGCAGATGAACCAGCAATGCAAGGTGTGCGGCGAGCCGGCGGCCGGTTTCCACTTCGGCGCATTCACCTGCGAGGGTTGCAAGGTGAGTTTTGCCATCCAATTTTGAATTTTTCTCTCTCTTTCTCAGAATATCATTAAACAAACTCATGAGCGCGAATTAAAAATTATTGATTAACAAAATCGTAATTAATATAATTTATAATTTTTCGCCTCCGTTTAAATTTAATGACGCGCATCTCGCACCTCGGTTAAGCATCTGATTGTTTTGCATAAAACAGCCGCTTTTTTATCAACTATTTAATATTGTTGTAATTCATGTAATTATTATAAGCGTAAGTAAATTAGATAAAAAAAAATAGAAAAAAAACTTAGCTAACAGCTCATTTTATCTACTTTTTCACATTACACGATCGAAGCATCGTCACCGCAAGCAGGGACTCGCGTTCCGGAGAATCACTCTGCCGATTCAGGCAACGTGCGTAAAGAAAATCGATCTCACCGTCGAAAAAACACGGCATGTTCGCGATCAAGAGGAAAGAACCTCGCTCCTGATCGATCACTCTAATAGCGAGGTTTTTTTTGCTCATGGTTTTTCTCAATCGGTGCGACACGTCGAGCCAAGCCCAAGGGAAGCCGCGTCGAGGCGACGCTCTTTCCCGGAGTTTCGCAAGGGCCCGTGCGGGCTGGCAGCAAGCGATCGCTTTCACGAGTTGCTCCGTGGCCGAGGTTAAACGTTTGGCCAGGCATGCGTGTCAACCTAGTCCGAGGGGGCCCGAAAGCAGCGAATGCACGCGCGCGATTCGATTGAAAAGCGGCAAACCGTCGCAGACCGCATCAGCGTCGAAGAGCCGCTCGCTCGAAGCGTGAAGCGAACGAGAAAAACGAGAACGGTAGCGGCTGCGTGAGGAGAGGGAAAAACTGCGAGATCGCGCGGAGGAGGGAGAGCTGACATGCTACGATGGGCCTGAAAACGAAAATAACGAAACGAAACAATGTCGTGCTGACGTAACCGTGAACTAGGGCGGAAACAATTGTGGCGGACAAGTGCGAAGTGTCGGAAGCGGCGTCTTACGACGATCCGGCGATCGGAACGAATAAAAGGGGCCCTTCTCCCTTTTCCTGTTGAATAACAAGCTCTTAGCGATTGTAATGTAAACGCTTTTATATGTAGAATTACAAACATTATAACAAGCAGAGCATTCACCGTGAAAAGTGGAGGCAGGGTTAAAGGAAAAAAAAACAATGTTACAATAGCTATAAGATCGCTGTTCGAAATCGATCGTAATCTCATCACCGAGACGTCGAGTTGTTTATTTTTGCGTCGAAAATAGAAGAAAATAATGGAAAAACCCTCTTAACCGAAGCAACACGCGGTCTCATCGTGAACTAGTATTTCAAAATGAATATTCGCGTTTTAGTGTACGATGACTCTTTACAAATTTATTCAAATTACAGTAATTGCAGAGTAACATGTATCGCAGTACCAATTTCTCGCGAGTGTGCGAAGACAATCTCTCTAAAGACCCAAAAAATTGTCCGAAGCCGGTGCTATGAAACGAGCGTAGAATAGCTTTCAAGTAGGGCTGTTTGCATAACTTCAGCGTGCACGACGAATGAAGGGGGCGTGCTGCCGGGGTCCGAGGAGAGGAGGGCACATAATAACGGTAGCATTTTCTCAATTGTGTCATCGCTTCTGAAGCGTCGCGCGTTCCTTTTCTTTCTAACGTGAGCAACATTGGAACAAGAAAGTGGAGGACAAACGATGAGGATGACGACGATGTTGACGTCGACGGCGAAAACAAGTGGAACGCTATACCGGCCCATAGGTCTCGGCAATGCGCGCATCGGGACCACCAGGTCGCAGGAAGAGCTCGTTTCCAGGACAAACGAACCAGAAACGATTAATAATATAGCGTGTGTATGCGGGTAGAAAAAGCGAAAGTGGACAACGCGGCCGCGTGCACGCGCGTCCCTTTAAACGCTCACCGATTCGCGATGTGACAGTCTGCTGCGCGCCGAGCGACATATAAATCGCGGTGATTGAGAAACTCTAACTATCAATTCAAGCGAGGTGAGCCGAAACTGTTGTCTCGCAACAATTCGACATAAAAAGCAACCGATACGTGTAATAAAGCAATAACAATACGTGTAAAACTATTTAACATTTAATGAAATTGATACATAAATTCTTTATGTGAAAATAAAATTAAACACATATCGCATTTAAAATCAATATTGCTCTATAAATTTTACATATTGCTATTTTGCTGTCAGAAGTCATTTTCAGATAAAGAAAATCAAATTTACCTATAACTGTAACTAATTAAATTTTATTTAAGGATTAATAGTGAATAATTATTTATATATAATTTATATTGTCAATTAATATTTAATTATATATAAATATAAATATATTTAGTGATCTAAAATCTAAATATATTAAATTTTGTATTTCTAAATTAATGAATTTAATTTGAAGATTTTATACTCTTTTCTGTAAATTATTTTCTTCACTTTTTCTATTATTTTTTAATCTTTTTTTAATACATTTAGATGCTTTTGTTCTATATCATCGTTAGGAATTCCAACTTTCTGATGATTTTCGAAATAGATATTCACTATTTTCCGCTTATCGCTGGTTTCTTTCTAACAAATGCATGTGACAAAGGTACACGTTGTTCTAAAGCATAGTTTTATAATTCTATAGTTATAAAATAACAACCAATTTATAAAGAAAAAGATTTAAACTAAAATCTAATCCACTCGAACTATGACTTGAAAGTGTCACGCGCTTTTATTACATACGTTTAGCGACTCGATTTCTAAAACGTTAGCAGTAAGAGGAAAACACAATACATTTACTTTGAAAATCAGCTGAAAATTGCAACTAATTCCTGACTCTATTCCACACAAACAGAGAAAAAGAGAGAGAAAATAATGTAGACGAGGGCGACGCAGCGGGGGCCGTTGCTCTCCATCTCCGGCACAAAAGCAACGAGTGCGGTGTCGGAATCACGTGGAATTGCACCATTTGGGCAATTAGCGGGAGAACAGCAGGCCGCACGCGCCGACCCCACCACACCCCTTGCCCCCTTTCGCGCTCGCATGCCATGAATGAGACAACGAGAGCGTACGGTTACACGCTAACGACTCCGACGTTGTTACAAATGTTACAATACCGTTTTCAAACTTCCCAAGGCTTGTCGATAGAATACGGCTTACATGATGATTTCGCGATGTCGTCGACGGTGAATCGATAACGATTCGATATAAATTTTTAATATTTAATACTGTTTTTAATAGAAATATTAAATATATCTATCAATTTATAGAAAATATACGAAAAATTAACATAGAAATATTTTAAGAATTTAATAGTTAATGCAACTCGATTGTAATCATTTTGTGAGATTACATTTGCGTGATTTGCTACATCCATATTAATGCAAAATACTTTTTTCTGCTCATCTGCACAACAATTTTTTTATAACTACCGCTTGATATCTTATTACAAATAGAATTAATTTCTTAAATTCTTCATGTGTGTTTGATTGAATTTTTTACTGAAAAATGATTTATGTACATTTTCTTTATGATTCATATTTTTTAACAGCTCGACCCTCCGATATATTATTATAATTTTTAACGCGCGCGAGCAAATTCATTTCGCATGTAATACATTAGTGTTAATTGGCTGGCGTATGGTTCTTGTTGCAGTCTTTCTTCGGGCGTTCGTACAACAACTTGAACAGCATTAGCGAATGCAAGAACGGCGGCGAGTGCGTGATAAACAAAAAGAATCGTACCGCATGCAAAGCCTGCCGCCTGAGAAAATGTCTATTCGTCGGCATGTCGAAGTCCGGCTCGCGATACGGTCGCAGATCGAACTGGTTCAAAATCCACTGCCTCTTGCAAGAGCAGCAGCAGCAACAGCAACAGTTAGAGGTACGATTGCAGCAGCAGCAGCAGCCGCCGCAACATCACTACCAGCCTGGTATTCTCGGTCGACAGCAATTGTCGCAGCAGCAACGTAAGCCGACAAGTTCCCCTGTCCACAATCTCCAGCGAAAAGACGAAACCATGATGCTCAGCCTCGATGACTACAAGAACTCCAGCTCGCCCAGCATCAGCTCGCCCGAATCTCACAACAGCGACAGCTCCGTCGAGGTTTCCGAGAGGAGAGCGGCCTTCGCCGGACATGCCAATTTCCGGCCGCCGCATATGCATCTACAGGTGCCCGATTTGCCCTCTCTGGGCAAGGAAATGATGGGCCTACCGCTGGGCTTTCCCCTCGGCAACATGTCGCTGCTGCCGTCGCCTTTTCTGCCGCCACCTAGTCTCGCTATGTTCCCGCCTTATCTTTACTCGTCTCACGGAGTGTCTCATCCCCTCGTAGCGAGTCACACGTCCAGCATGCTGCGACGCTCGCCGACGACGCTCGACGATAACGGCGGTGCCGTGGCCGCCGCGACGTCGACCATAACGACGACGACGGCCACGACGACCGCGTCGAAAACCTCGATGTCGTCGTCCGCTGATGAAAGTGACTTGTGCGAGAGAAACAACAATCACGATCAATTCTACCTGGACGCGATGCTGCTGAACAGCTCGCGAACGCCGCCGGCGAGATCGCCGACGCCGAGGGAGGTGCGAACTTCCAAAGACAGATTAATCGAGAGCAGTCCGGAGTGCTGCCAGCCGTTGGATGAACCGATGGATCTATCCATGAAAACAGCCACGGCGTCCCTGAGCGATCATTCGCAAGACGAAATGGAGACGGAGAGCGATACGGAGACCTCGTCTTCGAAGAAACCGATAGATTTGACGACGCGATCGTAAGATCTGGATGAGACTAGATTTCGGAAAGAAACGATTGGAAACGTCGTCGGACCAAGGATATTTCGTGTTACTTCGATATTTGTTCTAGGACTTCCGTAGACACGAGTGGTTCTCAACACGGTTATTCTATGCATTGTGTAACGCGTAAAACGGTCTTTTTCCCGTAAAACTACACATTGTGTGCACATCGTACATAGAATTCAATTACTAGTGACAATCGTTGAAAAAAAAATAAACTTAAGTCGCTTAAGCATTCCATGTATCATATTAAACAAGCGAAACGTTTGTGATATTTCAATGATACGGTAAATAAATGACAATATATAAAAAATGATGTATAAATGACTAGATATGAATGGTGTATAAAAATGATAAATACGAATAAACACTTGGGCGACTATTTCTAATGGAAAATTGCCGCTCAAATGTTTAAATATAAAGTATATTATTTTTATACGTACCGAGACGATTAAAATACAAAAAGTGTTTCATATAACATTTTCATCGTTGTATATTAACGATAAAAATGATTGATTCTTCATGTACTCGATAACAATAGAAAGAAAGATCTAAATCTATTAATTTTCTATGTAATAGATAAAGTAGTCTATTATATCGGATGTTGTGCAATAAATTTAGAATTATTCTTGTACTTGAAAGAATATGATGCAGGATACATATACGTGTATATATGCAATGTGATCATCATATATACATATATATATGATGATCTGGTCGTTATATTAGTGTATATGCATGTTAATGTATGGAATAGATATTAAATTTTGTATATATATATATGTTACATTCTGAAAAGATATAAATGTAAATGTAAGATAACAACACGAGTACCGAGCGCAGCGTCAGTGATTAATATTAGACGCAAAGGCCATAATATTGTCACGGTTACGCGGTGTTCGCTATAAAGATCGACTTATAGCAAACGCATTTTGTGAAATATCGTAAATGTTTGTTTTAAGGCACGTTTTACTGTCGATCGCGTATGTGCGGCAATACTTTCAAATGTGCAGTGTTTCGACGCCTTGTTGCAAACGAAAAATTCAGATAATTGGTAAATGTAGATAAATCTAACAATTTAGCAAGAAAAGCGCACGCGCGATACGCTATGTTTGCAGATTAAATTAGTGTTAAATATTAAAAGCATAAAAAAATATAATATATTTATACATTGTATCATAAATCTGTATATATATATATATATATACATATGTTATTATTTTCGTGATAGAAATTCTTTAATTTCCTAGACAAAGAAAAATCCCGTGAATAGACTGCGCACTCTTCCTATTCTAAAGAATTGAAAAGAAGAGCACACAAAAATTTAAAACAATTTGCATATCTAGCATGAAAAGAAATTTATCTTTTTGATTGTGCTTATGATACAAACGCTCGCGAGGTAACCTGATGCCTGCTAATGCCGCTAATTTTACAATATTTTTAATTATCTATCGCGCATGTATGATTAAAAACTCCCGTAATTTCTTTTCTCGCGTGGACGATCAGGAAGATTCAATCGTACAATCGTTTGCACCCTTACTCACGAACGAGCCGGAATGCGACTACACGCGCTCTGTTCGCACACGCGCGAGCGAGTCTCGGAGGAAAAAAAAATTACAACGATCCGACATCTCAATTCCGAGGCAAGCGAGCCGCCAATCGATACTCACTTGCGTAACAACCAATCGACTTTAACGAGATTCCACCGTTTTAATTAACGAGCGCGCGCTCGCTCACTTGCTAACTTGTTCGCGGTAATCACGCGAGATGAAGACGAACGACGCAGGACGCGAGCGTCACCTGATAAACACGTCGCGGCGCACACGTGTTTGCGCGTACGCTTACGCACCGGCATACACGTGTACGATGTCAGTAGCCCGTTTTATCTTACAAGAGCCTGCCGACGGGCTGCCGATGTTGTTTCCGCCGGCACGGTGTTCTTATGGTCCTTTCGCGATACGCGTACTACGAAGAAGAAGCGTTCACGGGAGGAAACCGTGATTTTCGCGACGATATTTTCTTTTTTTTATTATAAAGATAAGATTTTATTTAAAAGAGTTAAGAAATTTATTCAGTTTTTTTTTACTGGTGAGAGATAATCAAATATTTGAAAGATGAAACTTGAAACTTCGTTCATATTAACCTTTAAAACATTATATCGCGCATAATACTTTGATTTTTGTTATCTTCAGATTCCATTTTAAATATTAACAGCACGTACTACTCTTTGGTCTATAATTATAATACGATCTCTACTGATGATTATCTCGATCGAGAATCTTTCGCGAAAATTTTACGGAACATCCAGAATTTCGGGAATATTCTGCCTGCGTTCGGCCCGGGTTCTCACAGGTGTCACGGACGATATTTTCGTCGTCGTTTTATTCAGCAACGTAACCGCCGAACACAGCTTCGCTTTTAAGACGGAATCGCGGTACGATTTGTAGATCCGTTTGCGACCAGTAGTGGCTTTCTGGAATTTAAGACAGGCTGCGAAGAGGATACACATGGTGCCGCGATCCGGTTGACAAAGAAATTGTTATTACTACCGGCTACGAGTCTGGCAATCGATACTTTGAGATTTTCATCGGAGAAAATACGTAGGAGAACATGGTGACAATTGTATAATGGTTTTATATAGGTATTTAAGATTAAAAACTAAAATTTTATCCAAATAATTACCGAAGATTTATCTATATAAAATACCTCATCCAATTATTTTCAACTGACTTATTTTAAGAAAAATATAATTTAATATTTATAACTGTTAAAATATTGATACTAAAAATTAATAATTTATGTTTTTATTTTCAAAAAAAATTGATCTCAATTTAAAAAAAAATCTACGTACAGTAGCTATCTGATAATACTAAAAGATCGGATTATTGCCAAAAATAAAATTGTGCCTTGATACAATTGATGCCAAACTCTCCGATGCGATGCTTTCGGACAAATACTCGATAATTTTGCGTATTGCAAACGCATTTCTGAATCATGTTTATGAGATTCGTGTATATAAAGTTTGTATATATAGAATAGACACATTATCACTTCCCATGTACGTTTGTTTCGTAGCAATCCCACACCCTCTCATGTTTCGTAGATGTATAATTGCGAGATGGAATTTACGATAAAACAAATATTATTCGTAACAATTGTTGATTGCTGTGAACACTGTCCACAGCGATTTCGTTAGACATTCCTTGTAGATCGAATGTAGTCAATAAAGGCCAGTATTGTATCAGCAAGTGTAAGAAATCGTTTTATCCTGGACATGTACATATCCAAGTTTATTGTATTTAATCAATGAAGTTTTTTTAGTCAAATGCACGCGAAGTACGTATAATATTTCGCATACGTTGTTATAGATAGCGATAAGACGAGGACAAATTGTAAATATACGATCGGCATGGTTTGTGGAAACGGGACCGGGGCCAGTAAGTACTTACTTGTACACTACTTGTATTTAATAATAAAAGTTAATTATTTTTTATTACCTTGTAAGATATAATATGACCCAATGAAATATGACATACAACCATTCCTCTAATTTACAAATTTCAGCTCTTTTTCGCGATATTGATAAACAAAAAAATAGTGACTTAAATTTTTCAATTTGAATGTTTTATGTAATTTGTTACTCAAAATACAAAAATTCGATTGCGCAAATGAAGAGATAGTGTATATCTAATAAATACAAAAATTGAATCAATAACATTAAACGATTTTTATCTCGCTATAACATAATTTTCTTAATCTTTTTAATTAATACTCAAAAATTAAAAATATCCCCAAGTAAAGTACAATCCATCTAAGACTGTGCCCTATTATTAAGAATATATGTAATATAAAAAATTGTGAATTGTCGTTTAGATAGCGTCAAAGTAGAAATTAATGTAATTATTAAAAAGTTATTTGCGCGATTATTACTGTGATAATTTTCTATATATATATATGTGTGTATGTGTATGTATTTTCATAATTATGTACACATTCACTCGTGGTCTGCTTATCGACATGTAACGTCAAGTTTTCTTTTAAACAATATTATAAATTATAATATTATATTAAATAAATTCACTCACCGATTATTATGTTGTTAGCTATCAGAATTGCCTTCAGCTGTACCTGGAAAAATTAATAAATATATTAGTTGTTATGAATATCTTTACATTTATTATATGTAAATTAATACGTATTATTTTACATACTTAATACGTAATTAATTTGTATTGATAAATACAAATTATAATTGTGTACATTTATATCACATTTTTCTAATCATTTTTCCAATCACTACGTCTTAGACTGCTTCGCATAACTCCAGTAAAAAGAATCGATGAATACCGGAAATTTACACTTATTTATACGCACTATTGCACAAAATTAACCTATGCACTTCACTTATGCAAAAATCATGTAGATGTATTTACATCGCGAACTTACCACGTCGCAGTACATGAAATGCAAACGCAAGGTACATAAAACATTTTGTACCTCAACGTGTTCACGCATATAATTAGTCTCGATTCTTATCACTTTACATATTCGACACTGTTCATTCAAAGCGAGCGAGACAAAAAGCAAGACAACTACTTGGCAAAACATTGTTGGGTAAAAATTATCACATACGAACACTCACATAATGCGGCTATAATTCAATCTCGACAAGCTGAATTTTCAACATTCTATATTGAATAATATAAATATACCCTACACTTGGTGCTATGAAGAAAATAGCTAGCTTTGAGGAGCTAGCTTAGGAGTTGTTTTGTTGAAGTTGTTTGTCAAAGGGATTATGTACCCATATAATACTAACTATGATCGCTAAAATGCGAACGCCTGCGTTAACAGTCATACGTTTCGATAATCGCCCGTCACTTTAATTGCACTCCCGACAAAAATTCGCACTCGTTATGCACTGTTAACGGTTAAAATATGTAATTAATCGCAGAATATTCGCGCTTGAGATTCTAAGTCGTTACGACATAATAAAAACTAATATGGCAGTAGATCATCAAATAGCGCATACACATCAGTTATAGACTGTTGATATTTGATACAACGGGTAATAGGCATCAGTCGGTTATCGATCAGTTATCATAATTACAAAAATATATAATACTATTTTACTTACGGTAATAAACGAAGAATCCTTCTTTATCAATCGTACATTTCACTGTTGTTACGTTTTTGGGAGCGCGGCAGCACGTTACGGATATTTCAATCGTTTCGATACGCAATTCGCGCCCATTTTTTCTAGATACACAGAATACGAAATATGAATTTAGTACAGATATAATAATTACAGTAATCATGATATAGCATATTACAATAAATGTTTGACATTGTACAAAAGACATACCTGGTTGTTGATAAAGACATACCCAATTGTTTATGGTCGAGATTCTTTTAAACCATAATAATCGTGGGAAATACGGAGCGATCTAAATACGACTGATCCGTGGTGCGTTCCGAAACTGACTGCGATGAAATCTATGGGAGAATCATATTGACCTTTTTTAAAATGTTTCCACGATCAAGCAGCCAACTTTACAATAATATCGTAGAAATCTGAAATGTTTTAGCATCTCAGAAATAATCCAAGAAACGAATTATTGCAAAAATTTAAGCAATTTTAGAATAAAAACATATATATACCTAGTAATGATCATACGTCTGTTATGTTCTGTTACATTTTGGCGAGAAAATAATGCAGATGCGAAGACGATTTCGATTGACTTCGAGCGTAGAGACATTGCTGATATCGGATGACAATAATGACGATATGTATACGATACATAGCACGTTACAACAAACGTACGTCCGACACTGTACAAGAAATATTCGCGATCGCTTTGTATACGCAGAATTCGTTAGACTGTAATATTCGCGAGAACACGGAGCGATTTGAATGTTACTTTATCGTCTTCGCGGTGCGTTCCGAAAGTAACAGATTCAAGACCTATTATTAGTCTGTTCTTTATAACTGCGCGATGTTACACTTTCTGTACTTCAACAATAAAAAAAAATATATTCTATTGTCTTAAATTTATATTTTTATTATTTACTAAAACGTATATAAGAGCATTATGTAAATATAAAAAAGAGTTATCTATCCAATATAAATTGTGTTACAGAAAATATTCTATAGTACAAAAAATGTAATTGTCAAAGGTATAAAATAAGTAATCAGTCTTCTAGTCATGCTATCGCTTTGAAATGATAGGAATGCCCAACTAGTCGAGATAATTCTTCACATTTTGATTCTTACTTTGTTTCATTTTATTATAAAATTTATGTTTCCAATTTTAATATTTATTTTGTTCCTATTAATTTGTTCATATTTTGACACTTGGTTTGTCTCTATTAATGTTTAATAAACGTTAAAATCATATTCTATTCTAATTTTATGTTTTTTCCTTACATGAGTAGATCGCGAGGTCGCTCTATTAAAAAAAAGTAGCTTGCATATACAAAAAGATTGGGTAGCACTGATATATATATGTACAGAAAAAAATTACTTTTGCGATAAATTATGATAGTTTATTAATGTCCAATTTTATATAAATTACAAACGATAATTGATAACGAAAATGAATAAACGTGTAATCAATATGATATTAATAATATTAATAATTTATAAATATAAAAAGAATCACGTATTTTTGTCAGATATATTGTGGCAATTAACTTAATGATTGGATTTAGGAACAGGATGACTTGGAGTAAAAACTTCATAATCGACTACTGAAAAATGATAATCGCTCATGAGTAGTGTACTGGACGCGTGTTCTCCATCATAAGAATGTGGAAGATTAGTGTAACTATCCTTATTCACATTGCAGTTGTTCGATATAAGCAAATCAGCTCCGGCACCAAAAATCGGCCCTATGCTGCAAATATAGATTGTTTTAAATCAATTTAAAAATAAATAACATAGTATAGTGTGATAATTGTCTATAAAAATCATAATCCTTACTCTGGATGGGGACAGATTGCAAATGATTTCTTTATTATGTCGAACTTCGTCGGTGGTATGTCTTTAGTATTCGCTAACGTAAAAAGAAAACTCCTCTCTGAAGAAACGTATTGCACCTTGGAGTGTGTCTTACCCCATGAAACGTCGCTAAATCCTCCACATATTTCGCCACGCATTCCCTAAGGCAGAATATAGTATGTTATTTATAGCAGATACAAATCATTTGTAGAAATTGTATACTCACCATTAATATCACAAATGTTGGAGAAGCATTGTCACAATGCCGATGAAAAGATGCCGCTGAATAGCCATGAGAAGATGCTCTGAAAGCAATGAATTGTGAATAATAATTATGATTTTAAAATTTTGCGATAATGTATTTTAAACACCTAAATATATTTTTGTAAGCATCTGCATTTTCTCTATACTTTGTACAATAAAGTTATGTAATTAATATTTAAAATATCGTTTAACAATTTTGTAATTATGTACAGTGCTGAGAAGAAAGTTTATTTTACCAATTTGTTGAATACCCAAAAGAAAAAAATTAATTTATTTTGTGAAAGCTAATTTTATTATTTATCACATTCTTCGCTATGTGTTATCAGGAAACCTACCGATAAAGCAACCGCCAGCTTTGTTTGGGCACACCGTACCACTGATTCAAGATTCTTTGGAAACCAATTTTGTCCCTGGAGAGAATTTGCGAGCCCGGAAAGAACAGACACGAATTCACTCGTGGTTGCAGTCGTTTGTCAGAACAGATTTCTGAGTATTTGCTCGGTAAGGCCGCATATCTATACCTAAAGCAAAACGTCGAAATCGAAGGCGATACCACCAAACGGTGAATGCCGCCCCGTTAGATCATACCTTAGATATTTCGAGCCGCTCGATCGATCTGGAGTGAAAAATTCATACCTCTCCAATGACATCTCTATCGGCACTGCTCCTGTTGGCTCTACTTCCTCTGCAAATACCTGGCTATCAATAAGTAGCAGCCGCACATGATTTATCACACCAGACAAATGCTGACACACCCTCACACGCTCCTCCTCAGTCCAGTGCTGTGTAGGCTGCGTAACTCCTGCCTAGAAATCATATTTATAATTAAAAAACGCTCGCTTAACTCCTGATTGTAAATTTTAAAATAAAAGAAGTAAATATTCAAGGTTTCAGAATAAGAATTGAGTGCATTAGTAAAAACAAGAGTTTTGTGCCATTATCCCAGAATAAAGAATGTTTAGCATCTATTCAACGTATTTAAAATATTCAAGAAATGAAACAGTACTCCCAAAATAAGCAGATACCTGATACTTTGCCCAATTGAGGACAGCTCGCCATACATCCTCTTCTTCTAGATTAAGGTAGTCTGACGATATCAATTTTACCAAAGCATCCTTTGGCAAATTGCAAAATGCTGTTGTCTTTACTGTGTCCATAGCATTCTCACCAATAAAAGCAAAGCATTTCTCAATAAAAGATGAACAAGCAGCTTTTCCTCCTGGAATTAAAAAGAAATATTAATAAGAAAAACAATCAATAATAAAATTTTTATCTATAAAACAGTTTTCTTAAATATTGAAATTCTCTTTACTTAAAATACAGTACTATTTAAATAACTATCTGTTTTTAAAAAGCAAATATAAAAAAAATAAAAATTAAATTTTGGTTAATTTCAATGAAATATGTTTACATAAAAAACATACCTATGATAGAATAGGAACATTGAAGCAGATTTACTTTAGACCTTAAATAATTGTTGAAATAATTTTCAGAATTGTTTTGAATCTATGTGGTTCATAAATTATATTTATAACTAATTTAATACTAATTTAAAACACATATATGATATAACAAAAGATAAATAAATAAATAAGTTTTTCAGCTTTTCTAAAGTATATATATTTATTCCTTTTATCAAATCTATAATTAATGGATATTTTAATACCTTTTATTGAATATTACATACAAAATGATTTGACATTCTTTATATTTCTACAAAGTGTTCACAATGCATGTCATGTTTTAATGAATACTCATCATAAATTAAATTAGATATTGAATGAATGTTAATGCAAATCATTGAACAGTCTTTTTAACAGAATTTATGTTGCAAATCATATGTTACATTCATCCCATTGATGCACAACAGAAATGTTTTAAAAAACTAAAATTAGTACAAATTTCTATAAATATAGTCATCAATCACGCGATACATTTTTTTCACATTCAAAGAATTATCGATTTTTGCATTCAAGAAACTCCCTGAGTGTTTTTTTTTTTCTGTATAGTCCACAAAACTTCGCCAGTCCATCAAAGCCGGCAGCCGCCAAAATTGGGCTGAATTGAGGTTATGTTATGTTCTTCTTAATTCGCCCCAGGATTGGTATTTTGAATCAGCGTGATATTGTCACCCTTTAGCATGATCCGTCCAAGTGGTTTTCTGTTCTTCGTTTTTTGATGGTACTCCTCGGCATCGTCCAGCACCAGATTCATATATTCATCGAAACCGACAATGTGGCCTTCGATCCGCAGGTTTACATTCTCGAACAGCCAGACTTGCACACGAGAGCGATTTTGTAAATAGCGAAATATAAGGTTGATGGGTTGAACCATCACCTTCTGAACTTTCTGTGGCCCTTTGTACGACATTTTCGTATCAGTATTCAAAAATTATACGAAGAACGAAGAATATTCCAAAACGTGCTCCGCAAGTGTAGGACGCTATCGAATCTGACGCAATTTGATGTTTTCAGCAGTAATGCCAACCTAATAGCACTGGTCTGCATTAATTATTTTTTTATCTTGTAGTAAAAAATATTCAATATAGAAAAATTTTGTACATTAAATAAATAAATTTATTATTTTTATCATTTTTAATATCTATTAAAACGTCTCCAATTTTTTTCTCTACACATTATTTAGTTACTGTCTTGAGTTAATTTTTTTTATCATCACGATGTTTCGGAAATTTGGATTGAACTGTTTCTTTGGTTCTGTTTCTTTGCAGTTGTTCTTCTTTTCTCCTCTTTTTTTTTTTTACCGATCATACATTTTTAGAAATACAATTGCGTGATCACAAATTATCAGATGCATATACACATATTTTGTTTGCAATAAATTGCACAATTTATATTGCTCGTTATTCGCTATTTTAATTACTTCTTATGTTTATTAAAATATTTCTAACTTTTCTTTTACGGAGTTCGTTGTTTCATTTTTATCAACTTTTCAAAGTTGGCAATACCGTTCTTTCATAAGTCTTGAATCAGTCACTTTCGGAACGCACCGTGACAACGCTAGAACTGAGAGAAGACTGAGAGTGGACATGCCCGCATTTCACGTGTTTCCGTGAGTTAGCGCCTCTATGTGCACAAAACGTGCACATTGAACTACGTAGCCAATGTCCACAAATCCCGTAGGCAATGTCCACGATCTTTTGGGTCTCTTCCGTGCTACGTCCACGACTTTTTGGTTTCGATATGTGCTATATCTACAAAGTGTCGGTATGCATACTTGTAAAACATGATTATGTATATCAATCAGATTTGAAATATAAATACACACGTATTGTAAATACATGTATTGTAGCATTTACTTTTGCATTTACAGTTTATTTAGCAAAAGATCAGTTATTTTCAATAACCTGTAATTTGAAAATGTACATTTAAATTATTTTAATAAATTACTTCTATAATTTTGTGTGCGTGTGCGCGCGCGCGCGCGCGTGCATACAAGTGTGCTATTGTATATCAATTGAAACAAACCGTGTCATAAAACTTGAAACTATATTGGTCGCATCGAATATTTGTTTATTTTTTAAAATTATGACTGCCTAAAAATTGCCCTTTTTAAAAATTGTGTATTTACCAATTCTGACTGCCTAATTGAAAAATTGTGTATTTTACCAATTCTTTATAAATCAGATATTGTCAAAAATTATTTTAAGAATATCTTATTTATAAAAGATTGGTAAATAAAAATATGCAACAAAAATGAATGAAATAATGAGACAACAAAGGACTTTTTGAAATTTTTTAATTTGGAAATATATAATTTACAGTTCAATATAACAAAATCGTAAAAAAAATTTGAAACATTGTGGTTTATAATTACAGAAAAACAGGTCATAACAATTCTTTACACGTTTTCACGTCACAAAATTATTCGCTCACGTTACCGACGAACCGACTAAAACAAATGCAGTCTACAAACTTCGATGGGTATTTGTTTCTGATTGTTGCTTAAGATAGTCAGTATAACGTAGAAAAGCATTCAGTAAGCATCGATTTCCATTTATAACTTCTCTATACTGACTATCTTAAGCAACAATCAGAAACAAATACCCATCGAAGTTTGTAGACTGCATTTGTTTTAGTCGGTTTGTCGGTAACGTGAGCGAATAATTTTGTGACGTGAAAACGTGTAAAGAATTGTTATGACCTGTTTTTCTGTAATTATAAACCAGAATGTTTCAAATTTTTTTTACGATTCTGTTATATTGAACTGTAAATTATATATTTCCAAATTAAAAAATTTCAAAAAGTCCTTTGTTGTCTCATTATTTCATTCATTTTTGTTGCATATTTTTATTTACCAATCTTTTATAAATAAGATATTCTTAAAATAATTTTTGACAATATCTGATTTATAAAGGATTGGTAAATACACAATTTTTAAAAAGGGCAATTTTTAGGCAGTCATATTTTAAAAAATAAACAAATATTCGATGCGACCAATATAGTTTCAAGTTTTATGACACGGTTTGTTTCAATTGATATACAATAGCACACTTGTATGCACGCGCGCGCGCGCACGCACACGCACACAAAATTATAGAAGTAATTTATTAAAATAATTTAAATGTACATTTTCAAATTACAGGTTATTGAAAATAACTGATCTTTTGCTAAATAAACTGTAAATGCAAAAGTAAATGTGTGCTACAATACATGTATTTACAATACGTGTGTATTTATATTTTAAATCTGATTGATATTCATAATCATGTTTTACAAGTATGCATTACCGACACTTTGTAGATATAGCACATATCGAAACCAAAAAGTCGTGAACGTAGCACGGAAGAGACCCAAAAGATCGTGGACATTGCCTACGGGATTCGTGGACATTGGCTACGTAGTTCAATGTGCACGTTTTGTGCACATAGAGGCGCTAACTCACGGAACACGTAAAATGCGGGCATATCCACTCTCAGTCTTCTCTCTGGTTAGAGTCACATTCAAATCGCTCCGTGTTTCTCGCGAATATTACTGTCTAACGAATTCTGGGTATACAAAGCGATCACGAATGTTTCTCGTACAGAGTCGGACGTACGTATGTAACGTGCTATATATCATATACGTATCGTCATTATTGTCATCGATATCAGCAATGTCTCTACGCTCGAAGTCAATCGAAATCGTCTTCGCATCTGCATTATTTTCTCGCCAAAATGTAACAGAACATAACAGACGTATGATCGTTACTAGGTGTATATATATATATATGTTTTTATTTTAAAATTGCTTAAATTTTTGCAATAATTCGTTTTTTGGATCATTTCTGAGATGCTAAAACATTTCAGATTTCTACGATATTACTGTAAAGTTGGCTGCTTTAATCGTGGAAACATTTTAAAAAAGGTCAATATGATTCTCCCATAGATTTCATCGCAGTCAGTTTCGGAACGCACCACGGATCAGTCGTATTCAGATCGCTCCGTATTTCCCACGATTATTATGGTTTAAAAGAATCTCGACCATAAACAATTACCAGGTATGTCTTTTGTACAATGTCGAACATTTGTTATAACATGCTATATATCATGATTACTGTAATTATTATCTGTACTAAATTTATATTTTGTATTTTGTGTATCTAGAAAGAATGGGCGCGAATTGTGTATCGAAACATCCGTAACGTGCTGCCGTGCTCCCAAAAACGTAACAACAGTGAAATGTACGATTGATAAAAAAGGATTCTTCGTTTATTACCGTAAGTAAAATAGTATTATATATTTTTGTAATTATGATAACTGATCGATAACCGACTGTTGCGTATTACCCGTTGTATCAAATATCAACAGTCTAACTGATGTGTATGCGCTATTTGATGATCGACCGCCATATTAGTTTTTATTATGCCGTAACGACTTAGAATCTCAAGCGCGAATACTCTGCCTATTAATTACATATTTTAGCCGTTAACAGTCCATAACAAGTGCGAATTTTTGTCGGGAGTGCGATTAAAGTGACGGGCGATTATCGAAACATATGACTGTTAACGCAGGCGTTTGTATTTCATCGATCGTGGTTAGTATCATATTGGCATAACCTCTGGCGAACAAACAACTCCAAAACTATCATTGCACCGATGCAAGATATATTTATATTATTCGATATTGCTGCTTCGGTTATACCAACATTTCAAAAAATGCAATATTACTCTTTCGTAGATTTCATTGTAGTTATTTTCAGAACGCGCCGCGAATCAGTAGTATTATCCAAAAAAATCCTGAGCGTGAACAATTATCGCGTATGTTTTTTGTTCAATGTTTTTCGTAACGTGTTATATATTCTATACAATTGCTATAACATTATTATGATTAGGATCGGCGATGTGTATGTACGGGATCGATCAAAAGCAACTTCGTATGTTTCAGTAAATAAAATATTAATAATATTGGCAGATTGACCGCGTAAACTTGATCAAATTTACTGTCAGTCTGCTAACATTGCTAACATTTGATTTGTCTGGATATAATATTTCATGGTTATTATAATTAATTTAATGTTTATGTTTTTGTTAAATTTATTTCATATTTTGTGTATTTATATAGGAAGAAATATGCATACGGAAGATGAATACGCATCATGTATTTTTGAGGTTATCTTTGCTTCCGTGTGTACTAAAACGTGGCAATAGTGAAACATGCAGTTGCTAAAGGAGCATCAGCATCATTGGTTTGTTACCGTAAGTAAACAGATTATATATTTTCTATATACATTGTGATACGTATTTGGGCAATCAAAAACTTTTAAATTGTTTAACTTGCGATATGGAAATTATTTTATTATGTGCAATGTATAAATTGCAAGAAACTGGCAATATAGAACTTTAAATGTAATAAATACCTGGAACTCGTTCCTGAGCTTCCAAAGCGGCGCTTAAGAGTGCACACGCATTTGCGGGACTTAAAGTGGAAGACACGTGGTCCTCGCAACTTCTCCAAAGTTCCTCGATTCCAAGTTCTTGCGCTAATCCTAACATTTCGAAAATTCCGCTATCTTGTAATATTATCTGCAATCACAAAAATTAAAAAAATCTATAATTATTTATTTTAATTACGCGCAAGATAATTGATTTAAAATTTTATATGTATGCAGTGTTTCATCATTTAATATACACAAATTTAAAAATATAAATATTTTACACTATTGCATGATAATTAAAATGTAATATTGATTTTTGATGAATATTGGTTTTGAAAAAGATAAAGTTTTATCATAAATAATTGTTACTTGAAATCTATAAAAATATTACTTTCAAAATTATATTATTTTTTTTACATAAATATAAGAATGTGCAATAATATTACAAAATGTTTTGATTAATGAATAACAATTCTATAAAAAACATTTTTGATTAATCAATGAATATCTTAAAAATGCAATATTCTTTTAAATATTCCATGAAATCTTTTTATAAATAAAGCAAATACATTTTAACTTATAATTACAATTATATTATATATTTAAAATAATATATTTATTTTATATATGAATTTTATATCAATTTTTGCTATTCACAAATGATTTTTTAGTCAAAGAAACGAAGTTAGAAACATTGCATTAAAGAGAACGTCGAGTAATGTCACAAAATAACATGTTTAATTTTGTTGATCGTATGTAGAAAAAAGTGTAAAATTTTATACAATTGGTACTCACCATGCCGGTGTAAATATAGCGAATAAATTGACGAAATGTTTCCGGATGTGCGTGCGGCATTCGCACCGGCGTCGGATTAGTGGGTGTGCCGATTCTTTTGGCAGCCGTGAAATTCTTGCATCTGTGAAACGATTTTTTAAAACAAATAGATCTATAGCCCCATATCGCATTAAGTTTCGTGCAATCCATAATTTTAACGCGCTTCCTCAAAATAAACAAACATTTCTCCGCTATCGCCCTGTATACTATTCTCTGTAGTGTAGTGTTTCTCGTGACGGAAGAACTTAATTAACTTTCTAGCAAAGTTGCAGAGATATACGAAACAGTTGCGGTTGCAGAAATGCCTCTTTAGAAATTATTAACAACTCTTTTAGAAGTACTGTCATGCCGTGCTTCCTTTCGCGTTACGAGAATGCAGAAATGTAGGGAAAATTCTCTGCTGTATGACTCATTAATTGCTAATTTACATTCTTTTAATCATACGAAATATGCCATCGGAGTAATGAGCGCGAAATTATACGCGTGTAATAAACCAACAATAAACAGTATATCGTGCTCACTTTGATAGAATGCTATCAAAATTTGACAATTTATTTTAGGAACGTGAGATCATTTACTTTGCATTCTTTTATTTTAATCGATTAATATATTTACATAATATAATTATTAATAAAACTTTGGACTTGTGTAAAAGCTATATTTATTATTATTTAAAATCAAAATAGTTTTTATCTAAATATGAATAATACGTACATCGTGCTGACAAATATCAAGTTTTTATTTTATTATCACTTTCGAGTGTGCGCGCAGTAAATTCAATTTTAAATATTGACATTAACTTTGTATAAAATTCCGGCACAATGCAAAGCGAAACGTTTTACATATTTCATTATGCTACAGCAAAAAGCATAATGTCGCATAGAATAAGCCAAATGGGAACTGATGTATAATTAAATGGGAAATCGAATAAACGTTGTGTCTAAAAAAATACAGTTCGACATCTTAATGGTATACTATTGACTCCCGCGATATATTGAATCGAAATTGAATTTACGACATGAAGTGTTTTCCAACAATGAGATAAAACGAAAGAAGCGAAACTACAAGGACCGATCGACAGACAGAGTGTAAATTGATTCGTTTTTCAATCGACTCAGACAGGCTTTGTTTTTATTCCGCGTAGTCTTAGCAACGTTAATTAGTTTTGCCAGACAGCTCTCCAGGAAGAAAAAGAAACTCGTAATAATTCGTACTTTCAATTACGACAGTCAGAAGTTAAATCTGTTAATGTAGCCCTTGTATTTTTCTCGTCTGTTATCCTATGCGAGTAAACATCGCCACAAACATCTTTACTAAAGAGATTTAATACATAATGATTTCCTTTTTCACAATGTGTAACCCACAATCATGTTTGATAGTTAGAGAGAGGTTAGAAAAGAGGTTAAGACATCAGAATTGTGCAAAGTGCCGTGTGATCGTAAAGTACATCGGCGTTTTTCGTGAAATCAAAAAAATTGTGTCAAAAGGTATGCAGGCGGAGCAGCCTTTGAAGTTTTAAGTTGTGAACTGACGTTAGAGAAACACGCAAAATATACGAAGCACCTAGGTCGCGCGAGGAAGTCGGAGGTAGAAAAGTACAACCAGGCGCGACTTCGGTCTCACGTTAAGCGTTTTTGACACGGCAAAATTTTCCAACTCTCGACGCGAAACTCGAGAGCATTGGCGATGCGTACGAAATCAGGGAAGGGTCAAACGATATTTATGTTTGAATAAACTCGTATTTCACAAACTGTTGTTTTATCAGGAAATATTATGTGTCAAGATTATCTGTGCCGGCGAAAAATTGTTTTGCTACTTTGCACATGAATTATCAATCACTAATTTTCACAATTGACTCGTATAAATGGATTATAAATTTTTGTAATATATGTGTTTTCATACACTACACAAGGGATGCATTGCGTAAAACGATATTTATCGTTTCGCGTAGGCAATCGCAATCAAAATTACTATAATTATCACAAGATTATTTTTACAAACTCCTCGCTCAAATAAACACATATAATCTCTTTGACAATCATAACGTATTGCAGCTTTTTGTATGAAATCTTGTTTAATTATTGGAATAATATTTCAATCATTCTGTTTTTTGACCGTATCTGCGACTGTCATCCGATTTTTCAGCCCCATTTACATTCGTGCTTTATCCTTCCTCGCCGGAGCTGAATTGAAATAGAGATTACGCGAGATTTACTGGAAAGGGGATCGTTAATACGCATGCTTTTAGAAAATTTTATTTCCGCCTTTTCAACCGGCACTCGTCGCGAACGGGCGAATTCTCGAGTATGCATCTCTTTATCACGATTTTCATGCGAGAGAGTGTCGTAAAGAGTTCGAGCGCGCGCAGCACGCATTGTCCATTCGTTTCGACCGCGGACATCTGTCACGAACACGCGTAACTTAATTTTCCGAGGTTCGCGTTGGCGGGTGCACGAACCGAGAGAGACAGAGATGGAGAGGAAGAGAGTAGTCGCAGAGGGTGGAGATGACGGCGCGATGACAAAGGTCTCGCCGTTACTTTCTGCACCCGATATTAAAGAGATTCGAGAAATATCATAATTGACTTTACAATTAGCGCCGTCTTGTCTCATGATGTGCCAACCCTTCAAACTCGCTCTTCTCCTAAATATCAACTGAGGACTTCCTTATGAATCCGGGTGAAAGAAAAAAAATGAAAGAGTTGAAGAATAAAAGCGATTCAAGAAAGAGTACTCTCGTTGTCTAACTAATTAGAACAACCGATCGATTCGTTCCGCCGTAACCATCTTCATAAGCCGTAACAGGCCTTTAATTAAAATTCATCGCTTGGCCCCGCGCCGTTCGCGGAAGCACAATAAGTCGCTGCTTCTTTCGATAGTCGCGTCTTTCCGTTTTTCCATTAATATTCCCTACGCGTTGCGAACGATAGATTTTATTCGTTTTATTTGCAGTTTTTTTTTCTTTTTTTTTTTGTCATGAAAGAGAAACATTTGCCGTATTTTTCGAAGGAAGCAAAGTAGCTCTCCAGCTTATATTAATATTCTTAATTAGTGGTTGCTAATGATTCTTACAGGTTTTACAAGATCTGTTGGAAAAAATTTCCCTGTACACAATAATTTTAATTTCTTATGCGATAATAAATTATTTCAAACTCTGCAGCTGACATTTACAGTAGAAATAATTTCTTCGTGCTAAGAGGCTCATGCGCTTTAAAATTGTGATATTGATCGCGATATTCTCCCATGACGATTAATTTACGGCGTTTAAGCTCTCCGAGGAAATCTTGCTTGTAGCACTTTAATCAATATAATAGCGATGGATGTCGTAATAAAAATTAGTATTGGCAATTAATCTTGTATGTACCCGGAGGGTATCACATTTATTCATTTAGCGAAGAAAATTTTTGACGGTATTAGAAAATATCAGAAGTGACTGTGCTCGATAGAAATTATCTCATTTCTCGGAAAAATTGACAAATAAATTATCGGAAATTTATTTTCCAACCTTGTAATTATCGTAATTACGTTGTTATATTTTTTAAAACACTATTTAAAATTTTTTAAATAAATATTATCGCGACACATTAGCAAATCTATATTATAGAATATTACTTTTGCCATGTAATCTCCTATCGTGAGATATTTTTCTGTTTTCTTCTCGGTCTAACAAGTAGAATTAATGTTTTTGGTAAATAATGGCTCGTTAAGACAGACCTTGCTTGAAGTATTATTCTGTGGGCATAAACCGGGGTCTCGTCCCTCCCCAAGAGAAACACGATATCAGCTGAGTCCTTATCCTCGGAGAGTCGCGCCAGATCTTCTAGTAGTCTTGGTACACCAGCCAATCCAGCCTCACCAGACATCCCGGCAGCACCTGCCGCCGCCGCAACGGCAACAGCTCTAGTTCCCATCGTTCCCCTATCTGCACAGACCATCGTTAATCAAAAGTGAATTTAGTAATATCGACTTGAGTAATTAACAAAACAAATTTCTGAGAGGGCAAACTTGTCGCGCCATAAATATCGGCATTATGCGTATTCGCAGATTCTATTTTAGATTATAATCGTAGATTATAGAGCTTAATAAAAATTTAATTATATTTGTTTTCTTGAAAAATATGTTAATTTTCTATAAAAATATGATAGAAGACTAACTATATTTATAATTAATCCGCATCTTAAATCGATCCCGTTGTTAAAAAGGTAATTGAATCACGTAATTGAAGGAGGTATTTGCTCTAAAGGGAGCATTCATTTATCATTTATTTCTTATCGCGGCCTCGTCGTCGGGAAAATTTCGTAACGGAGAACAACGCCAGCAATTTACGATAATCCGAAATTAATAGGACTGCGCGAGCGGTAAAAAGATGACAGCGCCCGGATAGCGCGTCCGGTCGAGGTTTTTGTGAATCGGTCGCGTCGCGTCACGTCACGGCGCGGAAATTCGTGGGCGTTGGGAAAAAGCGACAAAACCGATTAAGGTACAATCGGCGCTAATTGCGCTATTAATATTTGATTTGCACGCGCGCGCGCACGTGCATTCGTTGGTTTGTTCGGTCGTTTGCTGCGCGCGGCCAAGAGGGATTTTGTGTTACCGCGGATGCGGCGACGCCAATGGCGACCGGGCCTTCTGATTCCCTTTTAATTAGTTCGGGTTTTGTAGTTTTCGAACGCATCGGTCGCCGATTGTACTGCGACACGAGAGCTCGCAATCAGCAGCAGTCATTTACCCTCCTGGCAAACCTTCCCGCCTTCCCTCGTTCACGCCGTGTCGTATTCGTATTCCGAGTAATGTGATTCAAAATGTCATTGTCAGGGATGCTCTGACATGATGCTCTCTAATGATTCCATAAAGAATTAATTAGCGTTTAGATCGCCTTCGTATAGATGAGGAGTTCGTGGCAAATATAGGTGTGACATTAATTATTATCATAGTTTGTTGTGGACACTCTTATGTTGAATGATTATGCGTTTCTTGTCGGTATTTCTTGATTCGCTGATAAATTTCAATTGTAAAAATATGTCAAACATCGTAGTGAGCTTATTTGAGATTATGTTATTATATTTACATTCGTACGATAATAAAGTAAATTTGGAAACGTAGTAATGCTCGAGTATTTTCTTTTATTTGTACTTATAAATTATTACTAATTGGTACAATTTATTGTTTATTACAATCATATATTTATTGTGTTATCAAACATATTACATATCAAATAATTCTGAAATAAAATGCATACGCAATTTTTTTTACATTTGATAAATTTTATAACAAGTTGATATTGGTGTCTATTATATTATTATAAACTATGCCACATTGAGCATTACTTGTATTGATTAAATCAGATTTTAAAATAATTTATGTTTAATCAATTAATTTGAAAAAGTCTACGATAATAGTAATTTGCCTTCTTTCTCAAGTTAATTTTTTTCTATCTTGTTTTCGTCAGGTTTATTTCTTTCTATCTTGTTTTCATCAGATTGATTTTTTCTTCTTTGCTTGCATTAGATTGATTGTCGTGGCTAGAAACTTTAATCGGTGAAGCAGATATTCTATATATTCTATATATTTCAACAAATACGAGTATATAAAAAAATACACTTGATAATAATATGTCAATAACAGATAATATTAAAATAACGGATTTTCAAAACTTTATCATAAAACATCACGTATCAATATTGATCTCAACATATCAGTTTTACGAATCAAAAAAATTGTGTAAAATTATTTATGTTTAATATTATATATATTAGATATTATTTTATAAAAATTCAATAACCGTAACAACTGTCACAACCACTGAACTCGCGACTGTGTGTTCTATATAGATATTATTGGTACTAAAAACGTTTAAAAATATTTCTATTATTTATTTTAAATTTGCATGTTCAGAATATGTTATATATCTGACAAGTGTCTTTTGTTGACGCGCAGATAAATATAAATAAATCTCGAGTTGACAATTATATCTGTCATATTATGATTGTATTATGTTATGACATGTGATTGCCAGCAAATGTTATTAATAGAAACATGATTTTGTTTTCTTTTTATATTAGTCACTTGACGCTGTGAGCAAACGATTAGTAGATCGATCAGACGATGCTTACCTTAGCGCTCAACCAAATCAGACGCTCGTTAAAAGCAGATCACATAGACGGAAATAATAATCGCATATAAACTTTGCATCATCTCTTCTCTTGACCGCTACAACACATAGTTTTGAGGCATTTTCAACTTCCGACTGCCTGTAGAAAATGTTTCGTGCGTTAATACGGAGAAAAACGTGACGAGAAAGAAAATCTTTGAAAAATTATGCACTTCTTGAACACAAAACTTGTTTCATCAGCGCTGGACCAGGCCCTCGCGCTCGACTATGCCGCTTCTCGGCGCTCTCAGGAGTCCCTCTGTTGCCCTTCCTTTCTCTCTTCTCCCGCCTTCCATCTTCGTTTACTCAGTCGCACCGCAGTTGATACCTATGCGGCTCCTTTTTCCGCTCGTGTTGATCGTACCTCCGTCTCACCGGCTCCCGCAAGATTGCTGTTCCTTGGGCCCCGTTGTTGCCAGATCGTTCGCGGATCACACGGTCGAAAAGCGATGCCACATTCCGTCTCTTCGTGCTTCACTTTTCGCGCTCTTAAATTTAATAGCTCTAATTTATTTAATAGATTGATTAGAAGTTGGATTTTTTTATGTCAAGAGTAGAAATAATAATAGTTTGCTGTACGTTTAATTTGATTTTAACAAGATCTTATCAACAATCGATTTGCAACCACATTTTGTATCTTTTTGAGAGAAATTTTGCATTTCTTCAAGTTTAAAGATGCGCGATAAATAATACAGTTATTCCGAGCTAACGAAAATTCGGAATCTAGTTTGCATATTTTGTGGTTTTGCGGTGAAATAACAAATTCTGCACAATGTGGTTTCTTCTCGGTTTATTCCTTGAACGAGAAAAATTCTCTTGACTTACTTTTAGCACCGCGGGCGTTCAACCTTTAACTGATTGAGAACCAATTGGTAGAAACTGTAAAAACGAGTATTGTTACGTCGATGTTACATCATCGTATTCTCGGGATTTTTACTCGTTCAACAACGAGTTAATAATTGAGTTTTTCTCTTTAATTATTTAAAGCAAATAACTATCTAAATTTCATGTATTCTCTTTCTTTTATTTATTTTTTTTATTTTAGTATTATTTTAAAAATATGTTATAAATAATTAACTTTACTTGCATTATATTGTTTGCTGTTTATAAAAGTGTACGAAAATAATTATTAAAAGTGTATTTTTAATTGCACGAAAAGAAATGTTAAAAAAATATATATACATACTTTTTTAAAATATTATAACACATTTACATATTAGAGTATCATATTTTACAAGTATGAAGCACCTGTGCGACACATGATAGTGTATCCTTTTTATTCAACATGATTGAAAGATAATTAGCTTGGAATCTGGTTTTACCAGGTTTTCGAAACACGTCAGTTACTTATTTAGTTTTTTCCTGGTTTTTTCACGTATTGAGTTGCTGCCTTCTACGACTCCGGAGGTAGACGCAGTAGGTATATTCGTACAATAAACGGAAAGCGCTCAAGGTACATCGAAAACTATATAGAACCGGTCTTATCAGGTTGGGAGAAACTATCAGTAGACGGTAAAGCAGACTTAAAATTTTCACGATCTTCGATAGATGTCTAGCATTGATCAATGATCATACAATTGTATGGATCATGCAATAAATATTGATTGTTTAATAATTATTAATTCTACTATTTATTGAACGATTTACAATGCAAAAAATCTGTTAAAACTGACATCGATGACGTATAGACATTGATGCAGTATTCTCATATTTTTATTTTCATTTTTTAACTTAAAATTTAATTTTTTGTAGATTTTTTTTATGTTATTAATTTATCGATATCATTGCATCACGAAAAAATGTAATCCGTTTATATATTGTAATATAATATAGTCACTAATGATTAACTTAATTTAAAACAGTATTAATTCAAGTATTGCGCTAATAATTTGTTGCAAAGAATATTCTATTGGTAAAATTCGCATCAATAAAGTTCGAGAGTTCATTACGTTATCGGAGTTGCAATGTTGAGTTGTAACGAGTCAAGTTTTTTTTTTTTGTCGTTGCAATAAAGTTAGGATTAATACATAATTATCAGAAGAACCTTAATGATTCTCAAGGGGTAGGAAGCAAGAGTCAATGGTAGTTTGCATCCCTGCAAACTCGTTCTCTCAATTGTTAACAAAGTTACACGAGGGCGATTACCGTGGCGGAAATCGCGAGGAACGATGTAGGCAAGGCAAAAGAAAAAGACGAAAAAAAAATTTCTCGTACAGGATATTCCCAGGACGGATCATTGCGATGGAAAGGAAGAGGCCTAGTAAACGTGGAGAATCGTTTTGCATAATAGATTCCGTGCCGCTTGCACGCTAGTGCAAATAGAAACGAATTCCTCAGCGCATTCGACGTAACAATCGAATCGGTAATCAAGCCGGCTTCGATAATCGAATCAGACCGGGTACACGTGTAATTGAAATTTCACAGTCGACCAGCGCAAATACCATGGCGCGCGGCCATTCTTCGAAATTACGCCACCAAATTTCGTTTTGCTTGTCGGCGACATCGATGACCAGGATGAGTTACACTCGCGGGAATTTCAATAGTGTTCGATTTAAAGACTAATATAAACTACATGAGTCAATAAATCATAATGAAATACCAACATTTGTCGAATATTAAATAATGAAACGAGATAATAATGTCCCGCTGCGACTTGATTAATTTTCAACATCAACCGCCTTAATAATGAAACCTCGAACAAAATTTTTTATCAGAATAGACTTCATTACAATTAACTTAAAATTAACGAAACCTAATTTACATTCTACACTTATTTACATCTATTATTATATATTCTTAAGTTTAATCCATTAAGAGAAGAGAACCTTTAATCTTTTGATATCAAGTAATTACTAATAATTAAAGATAAAATTAAGGAATTATAAATAAATTTAAGGAATTATAAATATTTTTGGCGAACAATTAATTACCGTAGAACAAAATAAATAGGTACTCGATTATCATAATCACTCGCAGTTCTTGCGATTTTATTTCTGGAAACAAAGTCGGTATTTGGAGTTTTGTGTGAGAATGAGCAACCGACGCGGCGGGTTTTAATGTGAAAGAAGAAAAAAAACAAGGCGATAGAACATCCGAAGAAAGTGGCGACGAGTCGCCCTTCGACCTCCGCCGTCGCCTCTTCGTGCAAATTGACTCTAACAAAAAAAGCTTCTTTCGCAAACTACTTGCCTCTCCACCG